ATTTCCAAAGATGATGTAAAGGAAGAGGAATTATTTAAGTGGATGCAAAGTAGAGATCCACTAAAACAAGTAAGTCATCATCATTTAGAAGGGACTATTGGTAGTGTTATGGAGCTCGCAGGTGTGAGTTTTAAAAAATGATATGCTGGGAAAGTAGAATTTAAAGGTTCAGTTGTAATTAGAGGTTTCAAAAAACAAAATAAAAATGTTCCAAAATCTAAAGCAGTGGTTTTCAACTAAGAATGATTTGGCAATGTGTGGAGATATTTTGGGTTGTCACAACTGAGGAGGTGCTCCCAGAATATAGTCGGTAGAGGCTAGAGATACTGTTAAATATCCTACATTGCACAGGACAGCCCTCCACAACAAAGAACTGGCTAACCCAAAATGTCAGTAGTGCCAAGGGTGAGAAACATAGGCTGAAAGTGATTTAATGTGATTTAATAAGCACTAAGTTTTTCTCTGAAAGACATGACACTTAGGTACATTTTCATAAATATAAAAAATGATGTAGATAAAACAAAGATTATATACTTTAATTTAAAGATTGCCACATTACTATATATTTATAATTATAAAACTACTGATGGCAAATTTTTGTGAATAACATTGTACTGAATTTTGTTAGATGAGCAGTAATTTTTACCTTCTTGTGATTTTCCAATGGAGATATTTCCTTCATTTTTTTTTCAACAAATATTTAATGAATATCTATTTTTCTAGAAGTTCTATATAAGGCACTAGAATGAAAATTCAAATAACAGCTTTACTGGAGAAACAGGCAAGTGAATAGAAACTTACAATATGACTAGTGTTATTGTAGAGTAATGAACAAGCCATAGCGGTAGGAACAAAGAGAGAGTGATAACTTCTGTAGCTGTTCCAGGGATTTAGGGTAAGAGAATATCAAAACAGCTTCCCAGAGGAACAAATGCCTGATCTGGATGTTGGTATCCAAAGAGAGAAGGGCCTTATAAGTATGTTATGCTAAGTAAGAAACTTCTATTTTATCGATAATAGGCTTACCAATCATCTCAATGAAGGATTTGGGTAAGGTAATAGTAAAAGAAGGTATGTACTTTAGGAAGATCACTTTGAGGACAGCTGGAGGGTGGCCAGGGAGGAGAAAGAAATACCAATTAGGACTCAGATCTGAGGTGACAAGAATTTGAAGTAAGGCAGTCATCCAATGTGAGGTGAGAGGAGGAGGAGGAGATGCACTGAAGGGTTGTTAAAAAGAATCAGCAGAACCAGCCAGAAGATACTTCCTGAGCGTACTAATATAAGGAAATTGTCTCTAGTGACAAAGATTGAGACTAGCCCATGCTGTGGGATGCTTTGAGGGTAGGCAAAAAATGAACATGTAAATTATTCATAATATAAAAACTGCCATCAATTTAATAGATATATGTAACAATAAAACCTTTAAGTGAAAAAAAACTATGTTTTTCTTAGGAATAAAACTGATCACAGAACACTTTAAAATACTGGTTTCAAACTTCAGGGCCCTCCACCAGCATATAAAGAGTTTAGAAGTCGTCGCTGATCCTCTCACAAGAAAAAAGCTGAACAAATTAAAAATCAACACCCCTTCTTAACACCCCGTCTTTCAAAAAATTGTGGTAACAGGGCAAACTGCTGCCTCTAAAACTGGAGAGGCAGACAGAGATACAGAGAATCACAGCTTAGCAGGAGCAGAAGCCAGCAGCAGGAGCAGAAGCCAGCAGCAGTATTAGTAGGATTATTTTAAAATGTAACTGCTGAGTTGCTAGAGCCTTGGATTAGACTAATTTGAGAGTTAAAAACCTCAAGGGGGTTGCATATTCTTGAGTTTTACTTCAGAGCCCCAGGAGGTTCTCACTGTAAAGATCAGAGAAAAATCCCCTCCTGCTTCTGGTAGGGGAGGGGTAAAGGAACTATTTTGGAATACACCCAGAGTTCCTTGTTCTTCCTCACAAGGCTTGTTCTCAAGGGGAACTGTTTTACTGGGGCCTAACACACTGGGATTTTTCCAAAGCCTAAATGACCTGGGGGAAGGGAAATACCCAACTCAGGCTCGCTGAACGACTGGAATCTAATTATAGCACTATCAACTGCTTCCCCTCTTCCTACACACTCTACTCCCACATTAGTAGTGCACCTGTATAACAGGGATTCCAGTTGAAAGAACTGCAAGTCTCAGAGCCTATTACGGAGCCTCTAGGAAAACCCATAACAACAGAAAAGACAAAAGTAAGGACACAGAGGAAATTCCAGCCTCTAACCCCACAACTATAGCGAATAGTAAATACAACCTAACTCCTCTCACCCTAAAGACTCATGGACCTCAGTTCCTTTTATCTGACACATCATGTCTTGCTTGCAACAAAATATTACAAAGCATGCCAAAAATAAAAAAAATTAACAACTACCACCAAAACAAACAAACAAACAAACAAACAAAAACCCAGTCTAAGACAAAGCAAGGATCAGAATCAGATTCAGATATGGAAGAGATTTTGGAATTATTAGACCAGAAATTTTAAATGACTATAATATGCTAAGATCTAATTTAAAAAATTTGGACAACACATAAGAATAGATAAGATATTATCAGAAAGATGGAAATTCTAAGAAAGTATCAAAAAGAGATGCTAAAGTCAAAAACACTTTAACATTGTGGGTCCCAGTTCTGGCTCGTGGCTAGGAATAGGACCCCGGATTCAGAATGTTACATTAATGTAGTAGGGAGCCTGCATCCAGCTCATGTAAGCATGATGCAGCTTATTGTATCATGCGTGACAGATGCCACTATTGTTCTCTGACATATATAAAGCCATGCGGACCCCTAAAGCAGAAGTGCGCTCCCCGCAATAAAGTTGGTGCCTGCTGTTTCATTCTCATGTCGGCTCCTCATGTGTTCTTTCAACTGGGCGTCTCACCACTGAAACCTTCACTTCTTGATCAGCTTGGCACTGACAACATAAATGAAGAATATCTTTGACGGGCTTATCCATACACTAGACTCAGCTGAGGGAAGAATTTGTGTGCTTAAAGAAAGGTCAACAGAAAATTCCAAAATGGAAATGCCAAATAAGTAAATAAAACAATGGAAAGGACAGAACAGAATACCCAAGAACTGTGGGACAATTACAAAAGGTGTAACCTATATATGATGGAAATACCAGAAGAGAAGAAAGAGAAAGGAACAGAAGAAATATTTGAAGTAATAATGACCTAGAACTTCCCAAAATTAATGACAGACACCAACTCATTGATCCAGAAAGTCCAGAGAACACAAGCAGGACATATAACAAAAAATCTACACCTAAGCATATCATATTTGAATTACAGAAAACCAAAGACCAAGAGAAAATCTTGAAAGAAGCCAGGGGGCCAAGAATTGCATTGGACTTATCTTCAGAAACCATGCAAGAAGATGGAGCAGAATATTTGAATTGTTAAAGCAAAAAACCACTAATATACAATTCTGTATCCAGTGAAATAATCCTTCAAAAATGAAGGAGCAATATAGACTTTTGAAGCAAACAAAAAATGAGGGAATTTGTCTCCATTAGACATGCCCTGAAAGAAATGTTAAAATAAGTTCATTAGACAGAAGGAAAATGATATAGGTCAGAAACTCAGATCTACATAAAGAAGAGAAGAGCATTAGAGAAGGAATAAATGAAGGTAAAACAATTTTTTATTTGCTTCTTAATTGACCTAACAGAAAACAGTTTATTCAAAATAATAATAACAATAATGCATTCAGCAATTACCGCTTATGGATAAGTGAAGTGAACTGACAGCAATGTGCCAGGGACAAAAGGGAGGAACTGGATATACTCTGTTACAAGTTACTTGCACTACCCATGAGTGGCAGAATGTTATTTGAAAGTGAACTTTTATTATTTATAAATGTATATTGCAAACATTAGGATAACCAATAAGGAAAATTTTAAATGAAGTATAATTGATATGCTAAGAGAGGAAAGGAAATAGAATTACATAACATGCTCAATTAAAACCAAGAAAAGGCAGAAAAAGAGTAGAATACAAAAACAGAAACATAGACCAAGGGCAATGAATGAAAAACATATAAAAACTTCACAGCCACTATGGGGTGTGGGACAGTGTGGGAGCAGAGTAAATTACAGGGTTCCAGTGCTTTTTAAAAAATGTCCGAAAACCACTGCTTTAGAAAAAAAATCTCTGAAGTGTGCCTCCTGATGCTTTCCTTCTTTATTACGTCTAACTCTTTAGAGAATTAGGAATGCCAGTTTCTACTCTGAAAATACTTTCTAGGGCAGTATTAGAGTGGGAATCCAATGCTTCCAATCTCGCAATCCAGGTCAGAGTCCTTGGAGCTTCTGAGTCTTGAAACCAAGAGATGGTGAGTTTCATCCCCCAGGTCATGACTTATGCATTCTCCTTTCCCTTCAGGAAAGGGAGGGGACATCTCGGGGTTCTCTCTGCTACACGTATAACTCCAGTTACTAAGGGGGCTTTTACCTTTTAAGGTAAGAGTGGCCTGTGGAACAGCGGCATCAGAATCACCTAGGATGTCTGTTAAACAGGGAAATTTCTAGGTCCTGCCAAAGACCTACTGAATCAGACTCTCAGTGAGCTAGCCCAGGAATCTGCATTGCTAGCAAATATCACAAGTGAGTCTTATGCACACAACAGTTTGAGAACTACTTTATATACTTTAATGTGTGGTTCCTTTAGGGTTGGGGATAGGAATGGGGTAGGGAAGGCTCTTCCCTTTATGCTTTGGGTCAATTTATTGCTAGGAATATTAGTTCCCTAACCACCTGTAGAATATATCTGCTAAACAAATATAGTAAATGCTCGAGGAATATTTGATGAAAGATTACTTGAGGAGCATAACATTTTGCTTCCTTAAATTCTGTGATAAGAAAAATATTTTGATTTTTCTAACCTAGATAGAAGTAGTTTTATTCTAAATAAGTTTTTAAAAATTTTATAGTCTATATTTCATGTGTACAGAATAGCTGTTATTTTAAAACAAGCCAAACTTTATTTAGGTGGTAGGCTTGCTCTAATACAGACCATCGAAAAAAATCACTTGAGCTTCCATGTCAGTTAAATTTGGTTTAAAGAATTCCTGCAAAAGAAAAATAAATGGTTGAAAACATAGCTACAGAAAATATAAACCCAAAACAAACCAAGAAACTTTACATAGAGTTGTAATAAGGATAAAAAAAAAATTAATAGAGGTGCCGTATACTCTAAATGTTGGGGGCACTGCAAGGTTGGCCTAAGGGGTCGGGGAACTGAGGGAAAGGTACAGTGGCTAAGATCAACCAGAAGAGAAAAAAATGAGCAGGCAAGAACATAAAGGTCTGCTCATCAAATCCTCCCAAGAATCAGAAAACTAAAGATTTTGAGAAACAAAGAGGTAAGTTGCAAGGACAGATGATAAGAGCAATGGGGCTTGTACTGCGCTCTTCAAGTATTGAGTCCATGGGTTACACATACACTGCATTATACTACCATACTACTTTGTAAGGGCATTGTTAAACTTTAACATTAGTATCCAATCAAAACTGTATAAGCACATCAAGATCTGCATGAGAGAAGGATCCGGCTTACTTGATTTTCAGTTCTTTATTTTCAGTTCCTTCTTATGTTCCTAACTTGGGCAAGTGAAACTTGGAGAAACTCAGCTTGGGAAAGCTTGGGACACTGAACTGGAGTTCATGCTTCCATACATGTTCTTTGTGGAGGAGAAGAATAGATACAAACTAAATAGAAGCAATAATGTTTATTCCCCAGAGGCTTCCTTTTCAGGAGACTGTGCAACTCAGAAGGAAGGCAAAGCACTCCTACCCATCAATTTGATAGTGGTGTGTGTATGTGTTTGGTGTGCCTGTATTTATTTGGTATGTGTATGTGTGTGTGCGTGCATTTTGTGTGTACATCTGTGCAGCTGTGAAAGTGCGTGGGTGTGTATGTTAGAGGGGTATGGATGGGACTGAACAAATTTCAGTGTATGACTTACCTTGACCTATCAGCAACAGCATATATACTCCCACAAGCGCTGTCACTCTGGAAATGGAATCATTAGGTATGTGTTTTAGTCTTTCCTCCTCAGCAGAGAAAAAACAGAGACAGAAAGAGAGAGGGGAGACACACACACACACACACACACACACACACACACACACACACAGCAATTCTCCTAACTTGTAGGGTCAGATCATTTGGGACGAAGTCAGTCCTCACCCCTTCTACCTTCTATATTCTGGGTGGCTGGGTGAGAGACAGAACTCCCACAATAGGAAGAAAGTACTGAAGATGGACTATCACAAGAGACTCACTCTGGATGCATGAGAAGATACGGTCTTTTTCAAAGACATACCTGAAGCGGTTGGCCTGACATTTGTGAAAGATGGTGTGCCTGCACAAAAAGAAGAGAAATAAGGAAAACAGTGAAGTAATTATCAGCAGGCTTCTAAAATTAACCTGTGATAGAAGATAAAGCAACCTGGTAAGTAAAAAGCAAAAATTACCTGCAAACAACTTCTTTTCCAGGTCTTCTTGAATTTTAAGAAGAACCCTTTCCTGTTCTAAGGCTTCAATGTACTTTGAGTAGCACCAGGTTGGCTAGAAAAACAATTTTCAAAGTGAATTTTGGAAATATTTGCCCCAGAAAATAAACTGAAGTAAGATAACTTATATCAGCCCCTTCATTTAAACTTCTTATTGCAGTATTAACATATAATAAAATGTGCACATATCATAAATTTATACTTATATGAATTTTCACAAGTGGAACTTACCCATTTAACCTTTTAATTGGATATCACAAATTGTTATCAATCTACCTTATAACATTTTAATAAGAATATTTATGACAAAGTAAAGGTATTTTTTTCAATAGCCTTGACCTAAAATTTTAAATTCCGTTGTCCAGGTTGGGAGAGAGGTGAGGATCTGAGGATGATGATGCACTATTTCTTAGTGAAACAATGTCTCAAAAGTTTTATAGATTTCTTGACAGCTATTCAGTCACTTTTATATATTCAATTTAAGTATGAATTTAGGTGCTTAGAAAAGATCAAAGTTTTTTTGTGGAGGCTAGTTTTGCATTTGGATTAATTACAATTCTTCAATGTGTAAAATATATCTGAAACTAATGTATATAGAAAGCATTCCAGACTTAACTAAATGGCAGCATATTATTATTCTACCCAATACTAGAGTAATTCAACATGTATACATTAAGAAGCAATAATGATGATAGTAATTTATATTTATGAAATGTCTTTAGTTTTCAAAAGCTTTTTAGTTCCTTAATCTTGAGATGTATACAATATCATCACCAACATAATCATCATCATTATCATCCCTTTCTCTTTTGAACAAGTAGGAAAACAACCTAAAAGGAGATTAAGTCATTTATTTCAGACTTCAAGGTGTCAAAGTAAAAATTAGAAGCCTGGTACCTCTAATTCTACATTTCTCCCTTTATTTTTAAACCATGTTTCTGAAATTCAGTGCTAGTCATTTGCTGATGAATGTACTTCTAAATGGCATTAGTAGGTATCATGCATTTTTAGATATCTCTTTTTCAATCTATGGTTTCACAAAATTAGACATTTCTCTTCTCTCATTAAGAGCTTCATAGTCTATCCATTATCTTAGCTGAATAACTGAACTTATTTGACATTCCTAAATACCAAAAAGATTGTTTCTCAAGCTAGTAGTATTTAAGATGCAAACACTTTCAATAGAAGTCATTAATAATTTCTCTTTTGGGCTCTTATAACTGTCTTGTTCCCTTATTGTTCTAGTTGTCTTTTTTGGAGTGAGGTGGTGTTATCTTTTAAGATTTCTCTGTATCTTTTTAAAAAACTTATTGGGGCAGAGGGGGTCAAGATGGCAGGCTAGGTAAATGCAGTTTACCCCCTCCCACAACTGCATTAAAATTACAAACAAATTATAAAACAATCAACTTGGAGGATCTCCTGAAGACTAGAAGAACGTATCACATACAACTGACGATATGAAGAAAGAGTCACATCAAGATTGGTAGGAGGGGTGGAGATGTGAAACAGGCTGGCCCCGCACTCATACTTGGCAGCTGAGCACTGGGAGGGATATAGCGGTTGCAGAGGTTCCCCTGAAGGAGTGAAGGACTCTAGCTTCACAACAGGGCTCCCCAGCCCAGGGTTCCAGTGCTAGAAAGAGGAGGTCCCACAAAATCTGACTGTAAAAATCAGTGGGGATTCTGAACATCCGGGTGGGAGGGAAGGAACCTGAAAACCAGAAGCCCCCCTTAGAGGGCCCATACACAGACTGAATCACTCTCAGATACTCACCCTGCTCTAGCAGAGGGTCAGCAGCAAGAGACATAAAGGGAAAGACTGAGTTGCATAGTGTGGGGCGAGGTCTGGAGGGATAACCGCTATTGTTCCTTTGTTGGGGTCCCCTGTGGTGCAGTCTACAGATGGGCACCATCTTTCCTGTGTTGAACTCTCCTCGACATGGACAATTCTGAATCTGCATTGGTCTGGTGAGACTGGCTCATTCCATTCAGTGTTTCCCTGAGTCTCTGCTCTATCCAACACACAATTTGCCTGAGGCAAGATCGAGGCCCAGCAACCAGCCCCAATCTGTGCTCTTGGCAGGGGTAGCATTTGAGAGCAGTTAAAAGTCCTCAGCTCACATAGCCCACACACAGCCCATGTACCTCAGGAGAGACCTTAAGTGGTGGGTAGCTAGTGCCAACATGAGCTGCAGCATCTCTTGAACAAATCCTGGGGATTTGTGGGCCTGAGATCAGTAGTGGCTGGCCTCAGTGAAATCTGAGACTCTTGTGGGTGGCCACAGGCACAGCACTGGCACCAAATCTGAATCTGTATTGGCCGGGTGAAATCTACTCGCTTTACCCTGGTGATTCCCAGCATCTCCACTCTATCCAACTCATATACCGCCCAAATGCTCTCTCAGCTGTGGAGCCTTACGGGAAGCCAGCAGACAGCCTCAGGACTTGGGGTGCCCTTGACCTTTGCTAAGCTAACCCAGGGCTAGTACTATGGGCACGCAGCCACAATTTGCAGTGTAGTCTCTCCTACTTGCCACCAGATCCAGCACAGGCAGCAACCACCTGCGGATCGCTTTGTAGCTCCTACCAGGTTGCCTTGAGCAATCGAAGGCAGCAGCAGACCTTGGCCTGCATGGGAGCCCCTCCCAAGGAGTCACAGAACCAACATACCCAGAGGCTGGCGTTGGACTACAACAGAGTACAACCTAACTAGAACCACAGGTGGCACATCCAAAGGGTGGTCTCAACAGGTACAGGAACGCCCTCTAGGGCGACTCTCACTCCATGGGGTCGGCTGCCACACAATAGCTCATACCCCATAAGAGTGGCCAAACCTCACAGCCAGTCAGCCCGAGTCAATTTGATCCACTGATGTGCTAACAGCCATTGAGGCTTAGCTATAACTGGAGAACACACACAACTCATACAAAGAACATGCCCAGAGCCCCTGGTGCAGGTCATCAGGGAGACTGGGCAACACAACACATACTACATAAGGCTACCTGGCCAAGACTGGGAAATGTAACAAATCTACCCAATACAGTGAAAAGAATACAGAGAGGCAACTAAATGAGAAAACAGACAAACAAAAATGCTGCAAACGAAAGAGCAGGAGAAACCTTCAGGAAAAAAACTAAGATGGAGGCAAGCAACCTACCAGAGACAGAGTTCAAAACACTGCTTATAAGGATGTTTAATGAAGTTAGGGGGTGGAACAGACGATCTCAGTAAGGACTTCAACAGAGAAATAGTATGCATAAAAAAGGACATAGAAACTATAAAAAAGAACCAATAAAAATAAAGAATACAATAACTGAAATGAAGAACACACTAGAAAGAATCAACAGCAGATTAGATGAAGCAGAGGACTGAATCAGCAATTTGGAGACAAGGTTACAGAAAGCATCCAATCAGAACGGTGAAAAGAAAAAAGAATTTTAAAAATGAGGAAAGTTTAAGAGACCTCTGAGAAAACATCAAGCGTGTCAACATTTGCATCATAGGGGTATCAGAAGGAGGAAAGAGAGCAAGGGACTGAGAACCTACTTGAAGAAATAATGATGGAAAACTTCTCTAACCAGGTGAAGGAATGAGACATATGAGTCCAGGAAGCACAGAAATTTTCAAACAAGAGGATCCCAAACAGGCCCACACCAAGACATATCATCATTAAAATGCCAAAAGTTAAAAACAAAGAGAGAATCATAAAAGCAGCAAGAGAAAGGCAGATAGTTACAAATGGACCTCCCATAAGACTGTCAGCTGATTTCTCAAAAGAAACTTTGCAGGCATGAAATATTCAAAGTTATGAAAAGCCAGAAACTACAACCAAGACTACTCTATCCAGCAAGGCTATCATTTAAAATTGAAGGTGAGATAAAGAGCTTCCTAGACAAAAAAAAAAAAAAAAAGCTAAAGGAATTCATCACCGACAAGCCAAGATATGTTACAAGATATGTTAAAGGGTCCTCTTTAACTCTTTTCCTATTTAGAAAAAAAAGGTGCAGCTCATTGCCAGCATTAATTTAACATCATGAGTAGGAATGCTACATTTTCTAGGATTTGACATTTTCAATGATCGAGAATTACTATATTTTGTAAATGGAAATACCACTGCTAAAAACAATGATATAAATAGAATGATGTCATTTGTTTTCGATGACTATTGCTATACTACAGTGATGTGAAAATAATAATAAAAGCAAGATATTTTATGGCAAACTTTGGGGATAAGGTTAGGATTGTAATGGTGTATTAGCTTGGGGTAAACACTGCAGCTGCAAGCACCTCTGGCAAGTATTCTCAGGGCAAATAGGAAATGGGTTAAGAAGGAGAAAGGGAAAAACAACAAATAAATAAAAACCCCTATAAATATGAATAATAAAATGGAAATAAAAAATGTACTTAACAATAATCACTTTAAATGTAAATGCATTAAATGCTGAAATAAAAAGACATAGGGTAGATGAATGGATAAGAAATTAAGACCTATACATGTGCTGTCTAAAAGAGATCCACCTCAGATCAAATGACACATATAAACTGAAAGTAAAGAGATGGAAAAGATATTTCATGCAAATAGAAATTTTAAAAAGCTGGGGTACAATATTTATACCAGTCAAAACAGACTTTAAAAGAAAGGCTATAAAAGAGACAAAGAAGGGCATTACATAATGATAAAGGGATCAATACAAAGAGAGGACATAACTCTAGTAAACATATGTGCCTAACATAGGACCACTTACATAGATAAAGCAATTATTGACCAACATAAAGGGAGAAATTGACAGTAATACTTTCATAGTAGGAAACTTTAATGCCTCGTTGACATCAATAGATCTTCCAGACAGAAAATCAATAAGGAAGTAGTGGCCTTAAATGACACACTAGATCAGAATAATTTAATTGATATTTTCGGTGTTTCACCCCGAAGCAGCATAATACACATTCTTCTCAAGTGCACATGGGACATTTTCCAAGATAGACCACATATTAGGCCACAAAACAGTCTCAATAAATTTAAGAAGATTGAAATCATATCAAGCATCTTCTCTAA